CATACCAAAATCATCAAAATTACAAGCAAAATTTCATAATTTTCCCTCAACCAAGAATCAAACCTGTGACCCTAACCTCCAAAGAACGCACCTCCAGTAACTGGGTTATTCTTCAATTATACAATAAAAACTCAGAATAAAACTTTTGAGATCTCATTAGTGAGCATCATGGAGAAATCATGGTGAGATCTTCATCTTTCTCAACAAAATAACTTCATTCTTCCATTTCTTTTTCAACTCACCAACTCGACTTCCGTAACATCCACCCTCACTCACCATTCTACCACCTTCTATTCAACTTTCTTATACCACACGTCGCTCTGATCCGTAGCCAAAAACTTCATCATCTATAACTCCGATCCACCATCTTTAACACAACTACCCTTCAGTGCATCACTGTGAAAACCTACAACAACATAACCTTCATAAACTTTTGATAATAGGCACCACAAACTCAAGATTTTTACGGTGCAAGTTTGTTAAGATTTTTATGGCGTAATTTCATAAGGTTTATGCATTTGTATTTTTAATTTGCATATGACAATTTCGTTTCGATGTAAATATCATTGTGGTCGGTTGAAAATACATGATTTAACATAAAATAGGTGAATGATAATAATTGTAGTTTATATTGGATTCTCTACGAAATAATGTTGTTGTTAGTTTTAGAAACCTTTGCTTAGTTGTTAACTTGAATTTTGCATATTTGTCTAATGACTCATATTTTGCTTAGATTTGTTAACTTAATTAATTCTGAATAGTTGTATGATAATCATGTTTTGCTAAGAATTGTCTGATGAATCCTCTACTAAATAATGTTACTGTTAGTTTACCTTTTACGAGGATTATATTTTTCGGATATTGTGATAATTATCTTTGGCTACGGATCAAAACAATGTGTGGAGAATAACTTAATTGGTGGAGACATACCCTTTTAGGTTAGGGTAACCGGTTCGATTATTGCTTAAGCGAAAAAATCTAAATTTTCAAAAACTATATGATAAATTATTATTTTATTCTCTTTTAAGGATGTTTGATAAATTTTGAGGAATTAAATAATAAATTCAATATTATCATTCAAGATATTTGATAAGTTCTTCTTGAGCTATATAACAAACTCATTATTATCCTTTAGATATTTTTGTTAAATTCAATATTGTCATTCAAGATATTTGATAATTTCTTCTTGAACTATATAACAAACTCATTACTATCCTTCAGAAATTTTTGTTAAGTTCTTCAAAAATTATATAATAAATTCAATATTATCATTTAAGATATTTAAAAAGTTTTTCTAAAACTATATAACAAAGTTATTACTATCATTCATAGATTTTTGTTAAGTTTTTCAGAAACTATATAATAAACTCATTGTTTTGTAATCCTTCGAGAATTATTGATAATTATTAAAGATATAATATTAAAATCAACACGGTAATGGAAAAGAATAAAATAATATTACCTCTAATAGTTGGGGATTCAATTTTTGTTCTTTTAAGATTTGATAGAATTTCGTGCTAATAACTTGTTATAAAATAAGAAGAAAGAAGATAAAAGAGAAGACATTAATATGGTATAATCTTCTACAATGAGATCGATACTATTTATAGGATAACATACTGACAATATAATAAATATAAACTATTATAAATAAGAAATAAAATCATTCAAAGACAATTATCCAATTAATTATCCAATTATTCATATATATATATATATATATATATATATATATATATATATATATATATATATATATATATATATATATATATATATATATATATATATATATATATATATATATATATATATATATATATATATATATATATATATATATATATATATATATATATATATATATATATATATATATATATATATATATATATATATATATATATATATATAAAATCATACCATTAGTCAAATTTAATAATAATAATAATTATAATAACAATAATAATGAAATACAATTGACTTTTAAATGTCTATTATTAAAGAGAAATAAATATTTAAGTACTTATAATATTATAATATAATGATAAATTATTATTTAAAAGTAATATTTTTATCACAAATTTAGTATTTTTTTTATATAATTAAAATTGTTTTTTTTTTACAATTTGACAAAAAAATAAAACTTTAATTTTTACTTAAACCTTTTTTTAGTTTTTACTGTTGACTTGATAAATATTTGTTAAATTTAATTAAAAATATATTTAATTTAAAAGATATTATAATGTAATTAAAGTGAAGTATTATTAGTAAAAAATAACTTCAATTGTGAAACTAAGCATTAATAGAAGTTTATGATATGAAATTAAATAATAAATGTAGTAATCATTACCATTTCTTTCATTTTGATTGGAACAAAAGGTATTTTCGGAGATACATCTATGAATTAACCTTAGGTTTATTCGAATATGTATCTATGAACTAAAATGAGCAAAAAAAATGGAACTTTGAGCATTTATATATATCTGAAAACAGAGACAATTTAGTATTTTCACGCAAGACCTGAGAGAAATAGTAAGGATGCAATGAGAAATCACCTTAATCATATACTTGAAAGTATCAACAAAAGAAGTATGTGTCGTCCTCATAAAGAGGTTGACACCAACCAGGATATTGTATATTTCACTACCAAATTGCCCTTCTTTGATAATAGTTTCAAGTAAATTGCGACGTTATCTTCACCAATCGTCCTTGCTATCGCTATGTCTCTCCCCTAATTTCGTTTGAAATTGAGATAAATTTCTTACTATGTGCAAAAAGTTGTTTATAAGAGAAATGAGGCAATCCAACTCTACAAACCCTATGATTGATGTTGATCCTAGCAATTTCTCTTCCCTTGATATGAGTTTGATCAAGTCCCCAACAATACCAATTTCATCCACATTGTCACGCTACTCCTTTGCAAAAAACCATCGTTCTTCAAAGCTCTTCACTTGGCCGAATTCAAATTGCGTAATTGGTGTATCCTAATATTCCCAAACGACTCACCGTCTTGTGCTACTCCTTTGCAAGAACCTTCCGTTCTTCAAAGCTCTTCACTCGGTCAAATCTAATATCTGCATAATCTTGTAAAATCTCTCAAATCCACACTTTGATCTTGAGGTAAAAACTTTCACGGTTTTTTGATAAAACTCCCTATGATTCTCAACCCAACCTTAGATTACAACCAACCTAAATTGAACGTTATCAACCAAGACTAAATGACACCCAAACAATGAATGATTATGTGTACGTTGTTTGTGTGTATGTGTAGATCCAAGGTTGAAGATGATAATAAATCTTAGTATGTATTTATAGTTTCATTAAGTTGAAAAAGATGGATGTATGAAGTATTTATAGGGCTGTAAGTTTAGGGCAAAAGGAAAACTTAAAAATTGAAAGAAAAAAAAATACATTTTTTCAACACATAGACATGTTTTTTATGCAGAAACTGATTTTTAATGCATGATATATTTTTCAAACATGTTCTTAATTTATTCTAAGATTCCTAATGCAAGGGTGCACATAGTGACTCAGAGATACCGTTCAATATACAGAAAAGTTAAATTTATCCTAGCTTTGACATCATACAAAACATCTATCTAAGAGGCAGATGTATTCACAAAAATAATTAACAGTTGTGTAGTTGTGTTGCCGCAGCGTTGTTGCTTGAGCACAGTGGTTGTTTGATTTGGTTTTAGAGGGTTGTTTAACACACCATAAGGGTTTCTACCACACCCTTGTGAAAAGTAAAAAACACTCTTAGATTTCAGAGATGCATTCTCAGACGCACCCTAAGCACATACAATCCATCCTCTCTTTTTTTGTCACGCCCCAAATATTTGACTGAACTTAATCCGTAAATGTATCTCCGTAAATCATATGGAGATGTATTTCCGGAACATACTGAAACAGAAACAGAAAGACGCGAAATGAAGATGAATTAACATTGATAACATAAAAACAAAACATTACATAGCTAATTGTTAACATAAATCAAACATTAAATTTCACAATCTTTATGGACAACATCTTCATAATATCTTCGATCGATCTCGCAATCATTGCATCCAACTCGATCAGACATTTTGTTTCGTAACAGAGAAATTTATTCCACAAAACCCTTACATATGCACACGTCTTTAGCTCAAAGTTGCTAAACTCAATCTCCCCTTCGTTGGGAATCAAGGGTGAACAATACTCGAACTTTACAATTTTTCGATTTTCGAAGTATGATAGGAGATTCTCCGATAAAAATTTTAGATCTACAAGAGAAGTGTACTCATTGAACTTAAATTCAATTGAGGACTTCACCCCATTGAAATAGACAGATGTGACATGCAATTGAAGTTCATTTTGATGTAATGTGATTTGGTAAAAATAAATGCGAGACGAGAGCCCTATACTTATACAAGTTCTAGGATAATATGTGGCCCTTATAAACTCTATCTTGTTCCAGGGAAAATTCCAGAAATGTATTTCCGAAACCACCCTATGACACGATTACGGATATGCATTTCTGGAACCACAAAACACATAACCAATTACGAAAACAGTGAGAAACATAACATGTTTTAGAATGAAAAATGGAGAAATTTTCTAGAAACTTAAACATGTTTGATGTTTGACTTTGTGTTCTTCCATTTAACCCAACTGAGTTATTTACATTGTTGTTAATGTCTCATTGTGATTTCGTGTTCTTAGTTTGATGGGTAACCTTAAATTTGAAGGATTGATAAAACGTTAACATAGCCCTTGATAGTTTCATACTGTAATTGTGTTTATCCAAATGCTTGGTCTTCCACCTAGCCCTTCTGTTCTGAAACTATATAGCAAAATCTGTCTTGGCCACACTCCTTTAAATTTAGGGCTACCCATCAAACTCAGAACACGAGTTCGCAGCAAGAATAACAAACTCAAAGTAACTAACTACAACATCATGAACTGAGTTGGATAGATTGAAGAACACATAGTCAAACATCAAACATCAAACGCAGATTTCAGAACACACTACTTTCGTTGCACACGGAGATCTTGGCCGCATGTGATAACTTGCAGTTCAGCTCCAATCCTGTCACAGTTTGTGCATGCAATCATGACAACTATATGTGCATGCAATCATGACAACTATATGTGCATGAATGGTAAAGGGCTAAAATAACCATTCATCCCAGCTCAATATGACATAGCTGTATATGGAAGAGCAATGTCTCCAGAATCGTTGAATCCAATTCCAAACTAAAATTCAATGCATTTTTCATAACAAATATTGATAAAAGAATATTTGTAGAGATAATTAATTATTAATAATAGACATCTTAAATATGTATTAACTTGTAAAAGGTGTATTATGTCTTTCACTGATCAAGCTAAAATATTCCTTTCAATATGGCTTCATCAAGACCTTATGAGCAATTTAGTACATAAATGTTCAGTTATAATGTTTTGATTTTAAGACTATTTCAGCTGAATTTTGTTATAGCATCCAGCACAATCATCTGCTGAATTAGATTCAAAAGCTAGTAAGATGTGTGTACTGACAGATTCTAACCTCCCAATCCAATTGTAAAAGCCTCTGAATATGCTGAACCCAACTACACTCCCTCCAACCGTATTCTTCAACATGTTTAAGAAGTGAGGTTTCTCCATTTATATTCAAAATATGGGGATGTTAAAAAGAAGCCCATTTCGAAAATGTTTTCCAAATGTGAGTCAAAATTATAAGCACTTAAACATGTATAAGGGATCAACAAAGTAAATTTTCCAGTCAAGTCTCTTGCAAATTATGTTATTACTATAAGTGATAGCAGGGATTTTTGGTGGAAAGTGGAAACTAGAAACAAATTCAAAGTGACAGTATACTAATTGAAGTGTTATAACTACAGTGCAGCAATGAAATTCAAAAAATAAGAGCAACAACTCCAACAGGAAAGGCAATGAGACCCAAAATGAACTTTTTACTATATAAAGCATCTAGATATAAGATATTTTTTGATAATAAGTAATATCTAGAGCAAGTGCAATACAGTTAGTACAAATTCAACCCAACAACACTCCTAAGACAACAATAATTTTCATATCCTACAAATTTCTCTCAAGTTGGAACTCACCACTCTATTAGTTGGGAAGCATAAACACCCTCAACAAAACAAAATAACAAAATCCATTTTTTCCATTAGGTGAAGCAACTACGTAAATAAAATGATGAAACTTTGTTGAAACATATATTCAAAATAATAATGTACAACTAGGCAAATATCTTACCTAGTTTGTAATCTTTAAATAGACCTCTCGCAATCATTTCACGAAGAAGTTTCTCTGCCTTATCATGTTCATTATTTTCAAATAGAGAAGAAATAACTATTTCATAAGTTATAGCATTTGGAAGGCAACCATTGTCTTTCATTTTTGACAGCAAGGCCGTCGCTTCATCAAGCAAGCCTTTGTCACAAAACCCTTGGATCATAATGGTATATGTGTAGACATTTATATTATAGCCTTTGAGCAAAAGATCTTCAAAAACTTTTCGTGCATCCTCTAGTCTTCCACTTTGGCACAATCCCTTGATAAGAATATTGTATGTACACATATTTGGTTGAATACCCTTGTCTTTAAACTTCGTTAACAATGCAATTGCCTTATCAACTTGACGGTGATTGCACAAAGCATCCAATATAGAATTGTACATAATTATATTAGGTAGTTGACCTCTATCACACATCTCATCGATAAGCTCCAAAGCATATGAGATTCTTCCCAATTTGAACAAGCCATCAATAAGGGAATTATAAGTTACCGTATCAGGAATGATTTTTCTACAACGCATTTCTTTGAAGAGACTTATAGCTTTGTCTACCGCTTTAATCTTACAGAATCCATTAATCATGATATTGTAGCTCCAAATATTAGGAGTTACTCCCCTTTGGACCATAGTCTTGAATATATCCTTTGCCTTGTTCACTTCACTTACAAGACAATATCCATCCATTAAAGAATTATAGGTAACAACATTAAGTTTAGTGTCTTTTTTAATCATGATAGCTAACACATTTTGCGCTTCTTTCATGTTTCCTTCCTTACAAAAAGCATCAACCAATATATTAAAAGTATACACATTCGGGCTGATGTTTTCCAATATCATTTTATTAAACAAATGAATAGCTTCTTTGAGTTTACCAACAATGCAAAAGCCGTAGATTAATGCATTATAAGTGAAAACGTTAGGAGAGATTCTCTTAGCAACCATTTCAGAATATAAATCACAGGCATCATTAACAAGATTATCTTTGCACATACCATCAATGATTGTAGTGTACATTACGACATTAGGCCGGACCAACTTTCCATCAACTTGTCTAAGCAACTGTAGAGCAGCCCTTGTTTGTCCTGCCTTGCATAAGCCATTGATCAATGTCCCATAGGTAACTTGGTCAAGCTGAAATCCCAGAGCTAGAAGCTTGTCATGAAATTGCAATGCTTTATAGAGGTGATCTTTGAGACAGAGAGCCTTGATGAGTGTATTGAAGATTATGACATTTGGGTGATAACCCCTCTTGAGAATCTTTGCAAAAACAGAAAAAGCAAAAGCAATATGACCCAATTGAGAGAGAGAATTGATGAGGATGCCGTGAGATACAAAATCAGGAGTAAGTCTATTCAGTTCCATTAGCTGAGAAAGAGAAACAACAGCATGGTAATGTTTGGCTTTGGAAAGAGAACATAAAATCATGTCAAATTCAATGGCGGGTGGGGTGGGGTTCTTATGGAGAATTCGATTGAACAAGGAAACAGCATCAACATCATCATTGAAATGTTGGAGACAGTGAGAGTATGATCTCGAATTGGAAATGGAAACAGAAACAGCGTACCTTAAAAACGATATTGTTGTCTTGTCTCTCGGCATACTGAACAAACTGTGTGCTGCTTTGGAATTGGAATCGGAACGAAAGAACCCTAAAATCTATTATCTATTATTATTATTTTATATTTATTTATATACTTAAAATATTATATTATTATTATTTTATATATTATGTTTGTTATGTTATTTAGAAATTTATTTGAATGATTAATCTCTACAATTATGTATAAGGATATCCCATTTTTACAGAAAAATATACTTAAAATATCATCTTTCATTAACTTTTTAACATTCTTAAGTTTTATTTCGTGAGTTCAACGGTTAATAATATATTGTTTCGATTTACTTATTTCATATTCTATTCTATCTTTTACATGCAAGAGGGGAATGATGAAATTTTTTAAATCAAAATAATCATGTTTATCTACCAAAATTCTTTAAATAATCATATTTTTCTAATTAATTTTTAAAATATTCATATTTCAAGAAAAAAAAATTGCATGTTAAGCTAATTGACGAGTGTACAATGTCTAGTTAATTGAATCATCTGACTTTTATGTGTTGCAATTTTTTATTTTAATCCAATTAATTAATAAAAATAATTGAATAAAAATTAATAATATTTAATTTAAATTGAATTATATGAAAATATTTTTTACCCTAATGCTTGTGACCCACTTGATCTTACATGTCACGGATTCCTCACCCCTTGGATATCATTTTTCATATTTGTCTTTGTTGATTCATCCAATGTGTTTGATATGAGGCTCCTAGAACATCACCATCACTGGATTCTCTAATAAGTTCCTATAATTCTATGTAGTCTTGGGTATGCATTGATGCGCTACCGTAATTGGGTTTGTTGTCCATGTCGTTGTAGTTGGGTTATGTTGTTTGGGTTGATGGGGTTATTGGTGAGCGGTTTGGTCGATTGAAAAGTGACATTGGTGTGAACGCTTCATTAGAAAAAAGAAGAAATGATTGTTGTGGTGTTTGGCAGTAATATGTTTGCTGGATGTTTTGGTGTTGTGATATTATATTGTTTTGGCTATGGTAAGAAGTGTTGGTGTCATATGTTTCTTGAGTGTTTTGGCTATGGTAAGAGGATGTGTTTGCAACATTTGTTTGTTGGGTGTTTTGATAATAATCATGTTGGTGGTGGTGGTATGAGGTATGCTATTAATTTTGTGGTTGGGTGTGGGCATACATTAGTTGTGAGTCTGGGTGTTTGTGGGTTGGTAATTTTGTTAGGTAGGATGTTATGTGTAACTAGTTTGGTAATTTTGTTGAGAGTTATGAAGGTTGAGAAAAGCACAAGAAATGGGGAGGTTTGAATTGGATTTTCAAAAACTTTTCGTTTAGAAGTGCTTCACACAAACAATCAGAATTAGAAAAAATGATATAGAGAGAAATAATGACACTTTTGGTTTATACAGGTTCACCTTAGAAAAAGTTAATCTTGTCCAACGCCAAGGTGATTTCACCTTAAAAAAGGACTTAATCCACTAATCTTGAAAGATTACAGATGCACGGGCTACCTGTCGGTGACTAACAAATGCACGTGCTACCCGCTGGTGACTAACAACAACAATAATAACCTGTTAGTGACTCCTTAAGAATTTTGACCTACCCGATCCCTTAAGAGATATAACGATCAGTGACTCCCTAAGGCTTATGACCTACCCGGTACCTTGAAAGAGATTTCTCTATGCCTTAGAAAAGGACTTAATCAACTTACAGTTGAACAATGTGTTTACAAGATGCTTCTTACAAGCGGATTACACAGATGTTTAAGTACAAACTGTTTAACAAAAATATGAGCAACAACTCTTGTATTTAAACAATTTACAATAATAACACAATAATGAGCAACAACTCTTGTGTTCTAGAAAATAATAATATCAACATAAATATGAGCAACAACTCTTGTGTTCTAGCAAATAGTAATAGCAACATAATAATGAGCAACAACTCTTGTGTTTTAAACTTTTTATTCATCTTACTTTGATTTTGACAGTGTTACTATTCTTGTGTTCAAGTCTTGCAATTTTCAAATGAAACAGTTGATCCTTTATATAGGCGTTGAGGAAGTAGATCATTATAGTAGTACACACATCATTTTTATCTTGCAGCTGCCAACGGTAAAAAATGATCGTGTGAGACAAATAGTACACAGTACATCCATTTGAGTGGAATGTGTAATTGTACCTTTGTACTAACTCTTCTAGCACATGTTTTTTATGATACTATCTTGTGATGAATATTACTTCTAATGAAGTAGGTTGGCTTGAAATGATATCATATTTTGATCTTGTCTTCTGATGGACTATATGATGTAGAATAATGATGAGTCCAAAAGATATACCTTCCTTTGATCTTATCTTCTGATTGGACTATATGATGTAGAATAGCAATGAGTCCAGAAGATCTAACCTTCCTTGATCTATCTTCTGATGGAATACTTCTGATGTAAAGTAATATGCATATATTCCACGATGTAACCGAGTCTTCAGAATCTTGACTTTGTCTTCAGAATTAGAAGCAGTAACTTTTTTGATGAACAAATATTGACTTCTAATTTGGAAGTATAAGCTTTCCTTTGATGTGTTCAGAACTTTGACTTTATCTTCAGAGTTAGAAACACCAACTCCTCTAACGAACAAATATTGACTTCTGATCTTTGACGTGAAAGCTTGTTTCTGGTGCAATCTTGTTTTCTGATCTTAGAGCAGCATCTCTAACAGACATTCTTTCTTCTTGAATACTTGTGACTTCTGAAGCCGCTGCTTATTGTGAAATACATGTTGAGATCCTTCCTGGCAAACATTCAACATTCTTCAGAACTACTGATGTTTCTTCAAAAGTGGATGTTATAGTCTTTCTGATGCGTGCTTGGTGTATTTTTGACGATTCTTCAGACAACAGTCCTGAATCAATTAGAACTTCTAATATGTATACTCAAGAAACTATTAGATACAAAAATTTTTACATATAAAATATATGTATTATTATCATCAAAATCCAGAGATTAATTACAGAATCTAAATCTTGTTCTAATAGGTTAGATGTTGAAACTGGTTGTGTGTAAGTGGTTCGACGTTGATCGTATAAATATTTATCTTCGAAGAAAAACCCCATTGTAATTGGTGTATACCAATACATATAATTATTAGTTGGTTTAGATTTGGTTGGCATGACAACATCGATTAAGACTCATTGATGACAATGACGTCTCCATCAATGATACTTGGCTTTAGTGAAGTCTTTCTCGTCGTCAAAGGACCATTGTTCATTAACTTTATATTGATGCCATATATGCCGAGACATAACCTGATTTAATCCTATTTATTAACTTTTATTCTCGTATATAATCTGATTTAAATTAAATATTATTAGTTTTTATTCAATTTTTTTATTAATTAATTGGATTAAAATATTAAAAAAAAGTATTCAACGCATATGAGATAGATGAATTAACGATGACTCTTATAACTTGTACATAGTCGCTAATTCAACTGAATAAACATAGTGCAGTCGTCAACTTAACTGGGTAGGACTCCTATTTTTCAATGGAATCGCCAATTGAATTGGCATGTACTGTTGTAATACGGTGGGAGAACTGACTTTAGGGTTTTGCGTTTTATCCCAAATGTTGTGGATAGCAAGAGTCGCCATCGATTTTTCTTTTATCCAATAAAGGAAAGGGTGAAAAGAACAGGAAAGACCTTTGAGAATTTTTCTTGAGTTCGGGGGGTAGGTTATGAAAAGGGAAGGTGTTAGTACACTTTTCATCCATATTTATCTACGGGCTCTTAATTGCTAGCTCACTTTGAAAATGCTTTGTGTTTATGTATGTTTTGAAAATATTTTTGAAAACGCCTAAGTGCAACAATTTTGTAATGATTCTCGTATCGTTGAAAATGTATGTAAAATGTTTGTTTTAAAAAAAACATTTGTTTGAGGAAAAGTGTTTGTTTTGCGAAAGTGTGGAAATATGTTTTAAAAATGCCAATGTAAGGCAATTTGCTTTATAATAACCCTTGTATCAGTCCTCAAGAGTGTTTATAAAGTGTTTTGAAAGTAGTTATTTTGAAAGTAGATGTTTTGAAAGTGTGAGGTGTGAAGATTGTTTTAGTTTGTAAGCAAGCGATTATGAGCGATCTACCTACTAAAAAAGTCTTTATTATTTTCCTCCTCCTTTTGATAGGGATACTCTACTATTAGTTAGTAGGAAGCCCTATCATTGGATGTGAGGGACAGGCGTGGGTCATCGTACAGTCATAGAAGGCAACTTGTAAGACGCTTTAGCAATTGTCGTAAGGGACTAAGATCGTTTGCCGAAGGCAGCATCGAAGGGTCATCGAGGGACTACAATCTTTTAATCGAGGGTCTTTGCTAAAGCATCTCACGTTCCAGGGACATGATTGTTTAAATCCGACGCAACAAGTGAAGGTAATCCTAGAGGTGCATGTGTGCAAAGTGTTTTGATTTCAAGTATTTGTATTAAGATTATGTTCTCTAATGATTGATTTTAATCTTGTCATACAAACCCTAATTACTAACAGTAATAAGAAAAGTAATAAATTGCTGAAATTAAATGTCCTACGCTATTGCAACGCTTTGAGGATGGGGGTACAAGTTTATGAATGGGGGAGAAAAGCAATAAACCTTAGTTATCTATTACAAACTTTGGACAGTTATATAATTGTATTAATGCGAAAAATAAACAAATGCGGGAGATAGAAAAGGGAAAGATGTAAAAACCCTAAAAATTCTATGTATTTTAAGAAAATATTTATTTGTTTCTTTGTTTAAAAATATTTGAAATGTGAAATAAAAAATTAGACCTAATTCTAATTTAATTTACAATTTAATCATTTAAAATAAAATAAAGTGTAATTAAATTAATTAATTTTATTTGAGAAAATTAAATAAATTAATTAAAATATAAATAATTCTAAGTATTTAGAAAATATTTTTGTGTTTTTTTTTTGTAGAAAATATATTTGAAGTATAAAACCTAATTTTAATTAAATAAAATC